TTCTTTCTCTCTCTACTTCTTTCCTCTCCACTAAAATTTCTTGAGCATCTGTGTGCTAGTTTTCAGTCACTATGACAAAATGTCTGAGAATATCAACTTATCAGTGGTCTTACTTACCGTGTTCATTTGGTTCCATTGTTTCTGGGCCTGTGTTGAGGCTACAGTCAAAATGGGGTTCACATGTGAAACACAGATAGTCACCTCATGGCAACCAGGAAGGAGGGAGGGAGAGGAGAGAAGGGAGGAGAAAGGTCAAAGGGGAAAGGAACTGTAGCACTGGAAGCAAGATGCATTCCTCCAGCCCTAAGGTTTCCACCACCTCCTAATATGCCATCAGCTGGCATCCATACCTTTAGCACATGGTCTTTGGGGGGGTCGTTTCAGATCCAAACCATTGCAACCTGCTATGTGTTGAAATTTTCTATATTATCTTATTTAAGTCTTATGATGAGGTGAGAATTAGGGGACTTAAGTATCCTTTTTATTTTTATCTAAAATATTTTATACTTTTACTTAATGTGTATATGTGCACAATCCCACAACATGTGGTGTAGACAACTTGCTGGAGTCAGTTCTGTTCCACTACATGGGTTCTGGGGTTATCCCCTTCTACCATGTGCACTTGATGGAAAGAAACTTTACCCACTGAACCACCTCACACGTCCCAAAGTGATCCTTTTTATTTTATTTTATTTTGGTTTTTCAAGACAGGGTTTCTCTGTGTAGCTTTGTAGACCAGTCTGGCCTTGAACTCACAGAGATCCTCCTGCCTCTGCCTCCCAAGTGCTGGGAGTAAAGTCGTGCGCTACTACCACTGCCCATCCAAGTGATGCTTTTTAAAGATAGGACATTTGCTACCCAAACAAGAGGGACCCTGCCTCAACAAGGTGAAAGGTGAGAACTGGCTTCTAAAAGTTGTCTTCTGACCTCAGCATGAGCACTATGGCACTACCTCCCCTACACCCCCCCCCCACACACACACACACACACACACACACACACACACACACAGCAAAAAACAAAACAAAATACATATCTTAAACAGAAAGAACTGTTGGGTCATATATGGTGATTCAAGCTGGTAATCCTAACATTTACTTGACTGAGGCAGGAGGATTGTGAATTCCAAGTCCAGCCTAAACTGCATAATAAACAAAATAACCTAACAAAAGAAAGTGGGGCAGTGGTGGCACCTTTAATCCCAGCACTCAGGAGGCAGAGGTGGGCGGAGCTCTGAGGTCAGTCTGAGCTACAGATCAAGTTCCAGGACAGCTGGGGATACAGAGAGAAACTCTGAAAAGAAAAAAAAGAAGTGAAAGACCCCCGAAGAGGTACTTTCGTAGAAGGAGACCCGCACCCAGGAATCAGCGAGACCACGAACTTGGATGCAAAACCGCAAGAGGCTTTATTGGAGATACGGGTACCCGGGAGACTTAGCTTCTGTGAGGCCAAGCGCCCCGAGCCAAGGGAAAGGGGTCCTTATATAGGGAAAAAGGTGCAAGCTAGAAGCAGGGATTCTATTGGATAATTCTAATGAGGCATTGTACAGAGCTATTCCCATTGGTCAATGTAAATGAGGCGCTATACAGGGTTATTCAAATGAGGCGAAGTACAGAGTTATTCAAATGAGGTGAAACACAGAGTCTTTCAAATGAGGCGAAATACAGAATCATTTCTATTGGATGGTTCAAATGAGACACAGAGCCATTCCAGATCAGCATATTCTCAAGGT